AAGCGCATGTTAATGGTAAGTAATGAACCATGTTAATGGACAAATTAAATCACCCCTCATGAAGCCTATAACTCAGTTCAACACACTGAATGAAAACAATTTGCTCCTTTTTCTCACTCTTGTTTCTCCAATACTTCCGTAGGGTTCCTAGCTTTCTTCTCTTCGATTTTTCTCATGTTTTTGGTGATAGTGTTCATCGGTCTAGAAGCTTGGTGTTCAGTTTACTGACAAACATTCAATAAATCTCAGAAACATAGGTGAAGAGATTAATTCATTTTAAGGACACTGTATGTTACACATGCTTTGATTTGCAGTTATGTCTCTACTGTTGTAATAATTTAGATTTACAATTCATTAATGTGATTATTTCCATCCTGCCTCTTCTTTTGTTAATAGACAGGGGCGGACCCAGATAGTTTGAATTGTGGGGTTAAAAATGAATTTTTTTTTTCGAACAACGTATCATTAACGAAAATAAAACCATATATTACGATAATAGGATTTGGGTTTGGACTTTTTGGGCATTGGGTTAGAGAAATTAATTGGGTTGACTCAGTACTTTGGTAGAAAACTACATTTTAAGCAAAGGCAAAAAAATAAAAAAATAAAAAATAAAAATCTAAATAACTATGAGGTCATTTTACCCCACATGACCCCATGTGGGTCCACCAGCGTTAATAGATATATATTATGTCTAACAAGAAGAAATCGGGGGTTTAGAGGTTAAGAGGGTTTTGTACCTAGGATGATTGATGAATCACGAAGTGTTGATGTTACTATTGTCCAATTGATGATTATTCCCCAATAAAATGCGTGTAAACACCCAAGAAACTGTGGTTATAGTTAATTTTTAGGGAAAAAGATATTAAAAAATGGAATAATTAGGCCCAACACTTCAATGGTAGTCAATATTTCATTAGAAGCTCCTTAAAATTTAAGGATTAAAGTCAAACGTTAATTTTAATCACATATTTTACACGTACCATAATTACTACTCATTTTTATTATATTATAATTTCAAAAACTTATAAACATCAACAAGCACTTAGTTGGGTCTGGTTAAAGAAAAAGTAGGATACATAGTAATATAATAGAATTACGGCATTAAAAGCATTCACAATCATCAAATCCCACCCCCACCATTTTCTGTTTGGATCATGATATTCAATACCATTAGTGTTTAACTCTGGTCTAGATGACAGTACTTGTGTCATTAAATTATAAGTGCAATCAAATAAAAGTAATTACGACTCATTTATTCAGATCTTTGATATGCTAACATCTGGCGTTCAAAATCATTAGTACTCGATAGTATTATTCTCTCTTTTTCCAACCTACCAATTTCCCATTTTGGGCAAATTTCTATTAAAATGGTTAATTGCCTCCCCACATCCCCCAAATAAACCCAAATCCTAATATTTTTGCTCACATAATCTTAGATAGCGTTGAATCAAGTCAAACCCCTCAAAATTGACGTTTTTTCGTCTATAGGAGTTCATATTCAATTTATGTTTCTCTGTGGACTGTTTCTACTTCGAACTAATATGAAAATTAGAGAGAAAGTAATGTGATGTCATGTTTAAATCTCTCACATTCCGCAGTAAAATACTGAATACTTCCACTACCAAGTGATTCAATTTTTCCCCATCAAAATTTTATTTTCCCTTTTGTCTAAAAAAAATTTCTAGTTGGTTGGGGATTTCAGTGCGCCACATGATGAACATACAGAGCTCTCTCATAAAATTTGATGTGTTATTACTTTATTGCTTTTTTTGGTATTTAATTAGGTCTTTTTTTTTTTTTTTTTCTTTTTTGGTATTTAATTAGGTCCATTTTTTTATTTTTATTTTTTGCTTGAATTGTGAATTATTTTTACAATAAGTGAAATTGTTTGACAAAAAATACTTTTCTCATTTACTAGACAATCTCTACTCCATTCCAAACTCAGAGGGCGCATACGGTATGCAACATCGCATATAAACATAAATCAAGCCTCTCGAGTACCACATTAATTCAATTTGAACCAATGACAGAGCTGTCACTCAGATCCAGTGAAGGCGTTATTTAACTATCGAAATTTTTTCAAACACATACTATAATAATATAAAAAAATCATGTAATAAAATCTCAAATTTCAGTGAGAGTCAGTGGATACTTTTATGCTACTAATTTAACCAATAAATTTGAAAAAATAAATTCAGGTTGCATCTACACATTATCAAATATCATACAATGTATGCAAAATATCAAAACAACAAATAACATATATTCACATAGCACAAAATGACAAAAACAACTCAAGCCAAGAAATATCTCAAATAATTCATATCCACGTCAGGGAATCCAAATAACACGTGCTGCAATCTCTATCTTATGAATATAACACAAATTGTAATCAAATAACATACAAAATATAGGGGCAGTCTGGCAGAAATTATTGGCTGATTTTGAGCACATTTTCGACCGTTACCTGTCGGCACATGGGTCCCATGTTGCAGCAATGTTTGAAAATCAAAAAGTGAAATACCTAAGTTGCCCATCAATCATAAGAAATGAATTAACTGTTAAGGGCAACATGGTCATTCTACAATAAATTGGTCCAACATTGCAGCTGTGATATCTGATTTCCTGCCATAAATGACTTGTCTCCATGAAAAGCAACGGGTAAAAATTTCACTGGAAATTTAAGTAAAATTTCTACCAAACGTATACTATGACTCAAAGCTAGATAACTCAAACCTGCAAAATATCGAGGAAGGTACACATAGTTTCAAATTAAATAACAAACTAGGTGTAGATGGTATTATTTGCGACATTAGACCCCGGACCTTGACCAAACCCCAACTATTAGATCCAAGTTTGCTTTCCTAAGAGAGGCTTCTCTGATTATTGCATTAGGATGCTTGAAGTAATATCCTCATTAATTAGTGTTTAACTCTGGTCTAGATGACAGTACTTGTGTCATTAAATTATAAGTGCAATCAAATAAAAGTAATTACGACTCATTTATTCAGATCTTTGATATGCTAACATCTGGCGTTCAAAATCATTAGTACTCGATAGTATTATTCTCTCTTTTTCCAACCTACCAATTTCCCATTTTGGGCAAATTTCTATTAAAATGGTTAATTGCCTCCCCACATCCCCCAAATAAACCCAAATCCTAATATTTTTGCTCACATAATCTTAGATAGCGTTGAATCAAGTCAAACCCCTCAAAATTGACGTTTTTTCGTCTATAGGAGTTCATATTCAATTTATGTTTCTCTGTGGACTGTTTCTACTTCGAACTAATATGAAAATTAGAGAGAAAGTAATGTGATGTCATGTTTAAATCTCTCACATTCCGCAGTAAAATACTGAATACTTCCACTACCAAGTGATTCAATTTTTCCCCATCAAAATTTTATTTTCCCTTTTGTCTAAAAAAAATTTCTAGTTGGTTGGGGATTTCAGTGCGCCACATGATGAACATACAGAGCTCTCTCATAAAATTTGATGTGTTATTACTTTATTGCTTTTTTGGTATTTAATTAGGTCCATTTTTTTATTTTTATTTTTTGCTTGAATTGTGAATTATTTTTACAATAAGTGAAATTGTTTGACAAAAAATACTTTTCTCATTTACTAGACAATCTCTACTCCATTCCAAACTCAGAGGGCGCATACGGTATGCAACATCGCATATAAACATAAATCAAGCCTCTCGAGTACCACATTAATTCAATTTGAACCAATGACAGAGCTGTCACTCAGATCCAGTGAAGGCGTTATTTAACTATCGAAATTTTTTCAAACACATACTATAATAATATAAAAAAATCATGTAATAAAATCTCAAATTTCAGTGAGAGTCAGTGGATACTTTTATGCTACTAATTTAACCAATAAATTTGAAAAAATAAATTCAGGTTGCATCTACACATTATCAAATATCATACAATGTATGCAAAATATCAAAACAACAAATAACATATATTCACATAGCACAAAATGACAAAAACAACTCAAGCCAAGAAATATCTCAAATAATTCATATCCACGTCAGGGAATCCAAATAACACGTGCTGCAATCTCTATCTTATGAATATAACACAAATTGTAATCAAATAACATACAAAATATAGGGGCAGTCTGGCAGAAATTATTGGCTGATTTTGAGCACATTTTCGACCGTTACCTGTCGGCACATGGGTCCCATGTTGCAGCAATGTTTGAAAATCAAAAAGTGAAATACCTAAGTTGCCCATCAATCATAAGAAATGAATTAACTGTTAAGGGCAACATGGTCATTCTACAATAAATTGGTCCAACATTGCAGCTGTGATATCTGATTTCCTGCCATAAATGACTTGTCTCCATGAAAAGCAACGGGTAAAAATTTCACTGGAAATTTAAGTAAAATTTCTACCAAACGTATACTATGACTCAAAGCTAGATAACTCAAACCTGCAAAATATCGAGGAAGGTACACATAGTTTCAAATTAAATAACAAACTAGGTGTAGATGGTATTATTTGCGACATTAGACCCCGGACCTTGACCAAACCCCAACTATTAGATCCAAGTTTGCTTTCCTAAGAGAGGCTTCTCTGATTATTGCATTAGGATGCTTGAAGTAATATCCTCATTACATTAATCGACCTCCAACTTAGGTACCATGCCTGTAACCAAACACATCATCCAGTAACCTCAAGTTAGGATTTGACAAAAACTTCCCCATCTTTGACACAATCAAGTCCCCAAGATCGATCCTATTTCCTTGAACTATTTGTCATATCATCCAAAAGTCCTCGTTGGTAAGACAAGATGGCCTACTGGGAATCGTTGTTCAAGACATGGACGACGATTAAATGCAAAATCCTCATATCCTGATCTAATATTAACACACACTTAACAGCCTAGACACTTGCGAATACTGATTAATTGCCATGCCAAAATGGTGTCTACACTTGTATCACTAGTCCATATACATAATTAAATAAATATATAAATAAATAAATATCAATCTGCATTCTGAGATTTTATGATATTGATCCAATTTCAATCCAATAGCAGCATCATGCTGGGTATACAGATTTACATCACAAATTCTAACTACTACCAGATAACTAAATCAATCCAAGATTATGCACAAGTTGTCCTTTCAATGTTTGTTTGACTGCATCTATGTAAAATTATTCACAGGTTGTATTTTAAATGTTTGTTCGACTAATTACAGATCTCAGCCTTTCGTTCCCTAATAGCCCACAAAAAGAATACTAATTTATAATTAACACCTTCACTCCCAATCTATTCAAGATATGAAGGAAAACCATATAGGGGCAGGTAGGGCTATGAAAGGATTTCCCCCTCGTCTCCTTGCAGAACTGCCTCTTCATCATCTTCTATGTAATCATCCTTTATGTGTTGCCCGAGCTGCTCCAGAGGGTTTCTCAAGTTACCACTGCTGATGGCTCCCATTATTGCTTCAAGTTCCTCCATAATCTCTCGATTCTCATCAATGTCAACAGTTTTTGTCATCTAAAATATATTGAAACAAACGCAGGAAAATTTAAATTTCTTTAGTTTCCCACAAGGCAAATAATAACAGAAATCACACAAGACCAAGAATTAAAAAGAGAAACAAATAGAAAAAAGACCTTTTCTACTGCAATTTTGGCAGCTTTTCTCTCTCTCTCATGCTGCATCTTCGACTCTGCCTCTGCCTTCGTTCTTAAGGTTGCTTCAACAGCTCTTAGTCCTGCTGCACTCCTAGCCTTCTCTGCAGACGGTCAAACATCCAGCGTAAGCAAAATGTTCCCAAAGGAAGTGAAATACAAATGCAATACTCATGTCATAAAAGAACAGAATGAAAGTCAGATAGCTAAATAAAAATTATTCAACCATCTTCAATATCATTCACAAAACAGAATAGATTCGCAGTTATAATTAAAATTTATGTTAGGCCACTTGCTTTGTATCACATCTATTTGTTGGGCTGTGATGACCAATGACCTTTCTTTTTCTGGGCTGTGATGACAAATGGGCTAAAGCCCAATAACTGTTTTTTATCAACTTAGGCTCTTGCCCAATAAAATGACCCGATCCGCCCCGGCCCAAATGGTAGATAAAACGTGTTTTGGCGTGGCATATTTTAATGCAGCCAAACACGCCTTTCTTCAGTTAAATGGGTGCCTCTTGACCGTTGGATTGAACTTGATCTAATGGTGGATCTTGTGGTATATATATACTTGGCCCCTTTTGCCCTAATTCACTTGGACCGTCATTTTTCTTTCTCTCCAGCTGCGGCTGAGGTTCCAGAGTATTCCATTCTCTCCTTCGTCTTCTTCGTGAGAGTCCAATCTCTGATTGGATCTGGTTTCTGTGTGATTCCATCTTTGTGTTCCTTAATACTGTGTGTATTGGAGAGTTTGGTGTGTGATTTTACCCCTTGTGGTTTCCTTTAACTGATAAAGGAAAACCTTAGGGTTTGGGGCGATCGGTGTGGGTCATACAGAAGGGTACAATCCTGTATTTTCTTGAGTCTGAGCCCTATTCATGAAAGGAACTTCATCTTGATGTCGTGTGGCTTGAGTTCTCGATGAATGACTGGAGGATTTAATTTTCTGCCTCTTTTCTTGTAATCTTTCTTGTTCATTTTCTGTGATTTT